ATGGATGTGGCAATCATTTTGCAACATACACATATATCCAATGATTATGTTGTATATCTTAAGCTTATTCTATAGTATGTGTCAATTATACCTCCGTAAATGGAAAATTAATTTATAAATGGTAATATATGTAAGAATAAGCCATTGTATGTGGAAGCCATAGGTAAATCATAACTATTTTCACTATTTTGTGATGAAGATTTGTTCAATTTAAAATCAGGAAGAATTAAGATTATTATTTTTATTTTGAACTTTTAATGAAGTACATTTCCATTTTCTGTACTTAAGTATTTTTATTCTGTAAGCCTTTTTTGAAGTACATGGCATGAATCGATCTCTAACAGATTTGGGAAGCAAAGAAGTTGATCTAATTATTGTTTGTTTGTTTGTTTGTTTGGAGATGGGGGGAGGGGGGAAGGATGCAGAGAGGGAAGGAGAGAAAGAAATCCCAAGCACTCTCGGTGTGGAACCAAGTGAGACTTGAACTCATGAACCATGAGCTCACGACCTGAGCCAAAAACAAGAATGGGATGCCCAACTGACTGAGCCCCAAGGCGCCCCAAGTTGAACTAACTCCTGATACTTCATGCTGGAAGGACCACTAAAAATTACTAATCTCACTACACAAAGGAGAAAAGGAGAAAATTGCCTTTTCTCCACCATATTTCTGGCGAATGAATTTCAAAGTATACTTGAATTAATCATTCCTATCATTTAAGGTTGGCAATGATATTTAGTGAAGTATTAATGAAGTTTTTTACATTGAGATTTTATTTTCCAGTTGTTTCCACATTGGTCATACAGAATCCAAATGGGGTAAAAGAATAAGCCTCATTCCAACTCCACCTAATCAAATTTCAAAAATATGAAGACAACTCTCTTGGGTTTTCTTATCCTTAAGGCCACTAATCTCTCTAATAATTTCACAATTAATTTTTTTTTCTTTATTTAAAAAAAATTAATGTTTTTATTTATTTTTGAGACAGAGAGAGACAGAGCATGAGCAGGGGAGGGGCAGAGAGGGAGACACAGAATCCAAAGCAGGTTCCAGGCTCTGAGCTGTCAGTACAGAGCCTGATGCGGGGTTTGAACTCACGGATTGTAAGCTCATGACCTGAGCTGAAGTTGGACGCTTAACCGACTGAGCTACCCAGGTGCCCCACAATTATTTTTTTCTTATTTTTGACTTTGCCCCTTTAACATTCACCTCAACTACAGCTCAGCCACATTTTTTTTTTTTTTTTTAAGTATGGTTTCTAGAACTAGGCACAAAACTCTAAAATTGAGTTCCTCAGCACTGTGACAAGGGCAATTTTTACTTCAATTGAATTAGTTCCTAAAATTCTATTAATACAGACTAAGAATATGTTGGCCCTTGAAAGGGCTTCATTAAAATGTTGAAACATTACATACAAAAATTAACATAAATCCCAAATGATTTGACATTTACTACAATTTAGTGTATTTCTCCAATTATGTTCTTGAGTAGTTAGTTTTTGACAATTCTATGTGGAATCCCTGAAAACTGAAGAGTCCTTCTTGGGGTTAATGACTTTACTTTTCTGGAGTAAATATAAGCATGCTCAGAGAAGCTAAATTTATTTCATAATGGTATTAAGTGCAATAGAAAGATTATATGTTAAATGGCCTCATGGTTTTTTAAAAAGTAAAATCATATTACATATATTTTCTATATATTCTTCAAGTAGAAATTTATGTAATATAATATTTTAAATTAATTTTTAAAGTATACTTTAAAGACTCTGAGCTGCTGAGATTTCCCTTTCTCCACTACATTTCTAGCTAATGGCTTCCAACCCATTTTTGATTAAGTAAATGCCAGAGTAAAACCAGATCAAATCAAAGCAAACCAAACAATGCAATGTGGCAGATACTTGAATTAATAAAATCTTCATGAGGATTAACTGTTCTCTGTTATATATTTAAAAAAAAATTTTTTTTTAACGTTTATTTATTTTTGAGACAGAAACGGAGCATGAACGGGAGGGTCAGAGAGAGGGAGACACAGAATCTGAAACAGGCTCCAGGCTCCGAGCTGTCAGCACAGAGCCCGACGCGGGGCTCAAACTCACAGACCGCGAGATCATGACCTGAGCCGAAGTCGGCCGCTTAACCGACTGAGTCACCCAGGCGCCCCTCTCTGTTATATTTTTTATTGAAATGTTTAATGGTAGGATTTTATAAGAAGAGACAAAATGAAAAACAACAACAACAACAACAAATAATGCTATTAAAGTAACTCCATTTCTGGTTTTTGAAAACAGAGATATTTTCTATATTGATGAAGCTAAAATCAATCCAGGAAAATGTAATTATGTGACTTAAAGGTCTTTCAATTAGGTTGTATTATAAACCAGTGAAATTTGAGTAGAGTTTTTTTTTTATTCTAATGGGAATATCGATCTCTAGACTTTTAAGACTTACAGTGGTCAGTTAATATTTTTATAATTAGTCTTTTTGAAACCAAAATAAAAACAAGGGCATTCTTTGTGATCTTTTTAAATGTACTAGTAATTTATGTGGACTAGATTTATCAATATACTTATAAAAATTTTAGATTGTTCTTGAAATAGTAATAAGTTACACAAGATTATATTCTATATGAATATAGGAGATAGTACTTACTGGAGAAACACTACTGGAACTGGCCCTTTAGATTTCATATTGTATAACAACACCTGACCACGGTGTTCCCTACATGGTAGCTGGGTGCCTGCCCCTAGATCAGGGATGTGTGGCCTACAGTGGTTTAAAGATGGCTTTAACTTTGGGCTCTTGAAAACAGTAAAATGAATGAAAAAAGAATATTCAAAAACCAGAAGTAAAATATACTAGTAAAATATTCCTATAACAAGACACCTATAAATAGAGGCATATCACACATGCAATATTGCTACCTTTTTATCCCCTCTTTTTTTCAGAATGGAGGCATGCAGTGAGCATCTCACTCTTGCTGCAGCTGCTTTCTTTGACTGGAGCCACTCTACTCCCCTGTTGCTCCCCTTCCTTTGTGAATCAGACTATGGAGTAGAAAATAGTTGGTTCAGGCCACTACCAGCCTTGTGTACATGGGCAAGTCATATAAATCCCATGACCATCTGTATTTTCCCCCCAGAAAACACATGTGCAGTCATGCCTGTCTTAAAGGGTTCGTGACTATGTTCATAAAATGCTTCCACTGGACGTGAATTTTAGGAATCAAGGACTATGTTTTAATCAACATTTCATGCAGTACAATGCCTGGCACATGTTGATACAGAATAAGTAGTATTCTTACATGATGTTGCACATTGTAGGAAGGGTGGCATGCTGAGGTATTCTGTGTTTCATGGGGTTCAGATACGGCTTTTGAAGGAAAAAGTGATTAGTCATTGTGTTGGCATGTGTCTACAGGACTGATCCATTTACCTAAAAAAGTTGGGGACAAAGGCTGTCCTTCAGACGTTTCAAAAAGTAAGTTTTAGAGGTGAATAGAGAATAATCCCTTTGAAGAGAAGAGTCAACACAATCAGATCATTCCAGATATGTTAGTTGATAAACACCAAGGAAGGTCATGTTATAATTCTCCTATTGCCTAAACCTAAGAGATAGATTTCAAGTTCGAAAATAATAGCCTAAATAAAATGAAAAGTGTAGGAATGATACTAAGAGAGAGATCCCACAGATTAGCTTCCTCAACATTTGTAACTGCTGTCATCAGCACCTACACGTTGAATAAAGGAAATGAATTATATATATTCAGGGTGGTTTCTCCCTCTGGGTGCTCCTTAGGATGATTTTCTAATTGGAAGCCTAGTAAGGGCTGCAGCAGGGGACCCCTTGGAAAGCATTCATATGTGTTCCTTGCTGCAGGGAGACACAGAGGACTGAAGCATGACTCACACTAGACAGAGCAGAAACAACTGTGTACAAGTTCTGTCTCCAACAGGGCCACACAGAGGGCCAAGGACCATGGAATAAGTCCTCATGAGCAACCCTCTTGAGTTGACAGGAGGATGCAGGCCATGAAAGCTGAACAAGGCTAGCGATGGGCCACCAGATGTCCAGGGGCATAAAGTGGATAAACACAGAAACATAATGTATTGACTGGTTTCCAAAGACAGCTTAAAACAAACAAATAAGCAAGGAAAATCCTACTTCATATTCTTTCCATTCTTATGCATGTGACCTTATAATCCTTTCTCACCATGAGTAACAAAACTCAAACTGAATATTGAGCAAAGAAGCCAGTTAATTCTCAATTCTAATCTTCTAGAAATTCAAAGAGAGAAAAATTCAATATAGAATTTAACAATTACATTGTTATCTGAAATTGAAATATATATATATATATATATATATATATATATATATATGTAAATCTTTGGAAAGCAGATCTATTTTGGTCTGGTCCTGAAGGAAGCTGAGAGGAAAATTTTGAAATAGTCTCATCAATCTTGATATGTCTCATGCTGTGATCCTGATATTTATTCTAATAATACTTACAGAAATATGATTCTCTAATGTCTTGCCTGCTTGTGTTTAAAGAAATATATGGAAAACAAAGACATACTATTAAAATATAAAGAAAAATATGAGATCAGACATGTTTTCTTGTGAATGCCCATAACCAGTGTTGAATTCCTTACAGAGTTTTCTGGCATTAATCAAGGACATTCATTATTTGTCACTCTGGGTCACACAGCTTATGTAAGACTGCTTTGTTGAAGTCTTTTTCCTTTCAAGCGTATAAAAGTATCAGGTACCTCAAATGCCAAGAGTGATGTCATATTGGGAAAATGCATAACTTTATAAATTAAGCATGACGCTACCGAATTCTGGTCATCTTACACGAAAGTGGCAATCTTTCCTTAATGAAATCATCAAGATTTGTGGAGGAGTGATGGGGTTACCTCATTCTTCCCTCACTTTCTCAGGCATCCTTCACTTTCCAAAGGCTCAGATTATGAACTGGAGATGACGTGTGCACTCATGCTTACCACAGGTCTATGAACGTCCCAGAATGCTCTCTCTTGGCTATCGAGGATCTTCCTTTCAATCTTGTCTCTCTTCTTGTCCACTCTGTCAACATGGTAACAATGGATAATAAGTGATATTAATTGTAGCACCTCTCTGGACAAAAGGCCGCAACTTGAACAAATTTCCCAAAAGACTCACAAGGACTCACTTTGCTTGTGCCTCTGCTTGCATGAAAATGAACTCCCACTTCCGGGCAAATGCTCTCTGCAGCCTGGCCAGGCTCTCCTGAAAAATACACCACAGGTGAAGACTTTCTGGTGCTCATGATCACTACTCCCTTCTCATTTATCTACCGTATGAATTTGTCAAGAAAATATAGTCTCTAAAGTAGTAAGTGCACTCCAGTTCTGAATGATGAGTCATGCTCACTGAATATAACTCATCCTCATATTAACAGAGGAAACAGGGAAACCTATCACAAATATTAATGTTTATGAATAATTGACTTGAGAGAATACAAGCAAACATCTAAAATACTAAAATTACTTTGTATATAAAAAGGTGCTCAGTACTAACCTATTGGAGTTTTCTGTGCCCATTTTAGTGAGGAACAGAAAAGCAGTACATTTTTACTATTGACTCAGTCAATCCATCCAGTTCCTGACAAGAATGTAAACCCTCAGAAGACTACTACCATTTCTAGTCAGTGCTTCAAAGCCAGTAAATCACAACATAGCAATTGTTGGAACAAATTACATCAGATTAATTTTACCTGCTGATGGTGACCAACCTGAAGGTTCCGCAAAAACCATTTACCCAAAGTGAATGTTCTTTACTTCTCTAAGTTTGGATGTCTTTACTATATGCAGGACACATCTCACATTTTCACACTTGAGTTTAGCAAGTAAAGACATACTCCTCCCTTCTCTCATGAATTTGTGTGTGTAGAAGTTCACCATCTCCAAGGAAGCAAGCAAGTCAGGGATTTGGGCCATTATGATGCTTGATCCCTGGGAATCTGGTCCTTAAAATCCAGGCATGTAGAAAGTCAACAGAATTCCCAGAAATGACCATAGGCCTTATTCCTGTTCGTTTTATGACATTCTTTGCCAGAAAGTCCTTAGTACTTACAGCTTCATAGTCAGCTAGTTCCAGCCTTGCCTTGTTTTGCATTGTTCTCTTGCAGAGATAAACCGCTAAAAGGAAAAAAAAAAAATTAATTACATCTTCCCTGCTTGTTAACATGAAGGCACTTACTGAAAATAAAAGATAGTGTTATAAATCAAGACATCTCGGTCTTTGCCAATTTTTTCCACTCATCATTTTCAATGATTTATTTTTTCGACAAAAATAAAGAAGGTATGACATTTTTACTGAAATTCAAACATAATGGTATTTATAAGAAAAAAGATGTTCATGGGGAGTGGCTCAGTTGGTTAAGTGTCCGACTTCAACTCAGGTCATGGTGTCATGGTTCATGGGTTCAAGCCCCATGTTGGGCTCTGTGCTGACAGCTCAGAGTCTGGAGCCTGCTTTGGATCCGTGTCTCCCTCTTTCTCTGCCCCTCCCCTGCTCACACTCTGTTTCTCTCTCAAAAATAAATAATAAACATAAAAAAATTTAAATTCATTCAAAAGACATAGGGTATCAGAATGGATAAAAAAACAAGACCCATCTATTTGCTGTCTAAAAGAGACTCATTTTAGACCTGAGGACACTTTCAGATTGAAAGTGAGGGGATGGAGAACAATATATTATGCTCCTGGAAGTCAAAAGAAAGCTTGAATAGCCATACTTATATCAGACAAACTAGACTTTAAATTAAAGGTTATAACAAGAGTTGAAGAAGGGCATTATATAATAATTACAGGGTCTATCCATCAGGAAGTGCTAACAATTATAAATGTCTATGCACCAAATTCGGAAGCACCCTAATATTTAAAACAAACACAAACACAAGCAATCTTATCCATAAGAATGTGATAATTGCAGGGACTTTAATAATCCACTTACAACAATGGATAGATCATCTAGACAGAGAATCAGTAAAGAAACAATGGCCCTGAATGATACATTGGACTAGATGGACTTGACAGATATATTTAGAACTCTACATCCCAAAGCAGCAGAATACACTTTCTTCTTGAGTGCATATGGAACGTTCTCCAAGATAGATCACATACTGGGTCACAAAACAGTCCTCAATAAATATAAAATAACTGAGATCATAACATGCACACTTACAGATCATAATGCTATGAAAATTGAAATCAACCACAGGAAAAAGTCTGGAAAACCTCCAAAAGCATGGAGGTTAAAGAACATCCCACTAAAGAACTAATGGGTCAACCAGACAAGTAGAGAAGAAATTAAAAGACATATGGAAACAAATGAAAATACAACAATCCAAACCCTCTGGGATGCAGCAAAGGCAGTCCTAAGAGGAAAATACATTGCAATCCAGGCCTATCTCAAGAAACAAGAAAAATCCCCAATACAAAATCTAACAGCACACCTAAAGGAAATAGAAGCAGAACAGCAAAGAAACCCCAAACCCAGCAGAAGAAGAGAAATAAAGATCAGAGCAGAAATAAACAATATAGAATCCAAAAACAAACAAACAGAAAAACAGATCAATAAAGCAAAGAGTTGGTTTTTTGAAAAACTAAACAAAATTGATAAACCTCTAGCCAGGCTTCTCAAAAAGAAAAGGGAAAGGACCCAAACAGATAAAATCACAAATGAAAATGGATTTATTACAACCAATCCCTCATAAATACAAGCAATTATCAAGGAATACTATGAAAAATTATATGCCAGAAAACTGGACAACCTGGAAGAAATGGACAAATTCCTAAACAACCACACACTACCAAAAGTCAAACAGGAAGAAATAGAAAATTTGAACAGACCCATAACTAATGAAGAAATTGAATCAGTCATCAAAAATCTCCCAACAAATAAGAGTCCTGGACCAGATGGCTTCTTTTGGGATTTCTACTAGACATTTAAAGAAGAGTTAATACCTACCCTTCTCAAGCTGTTTCAAAAAATAGAAATGGAAGGAAAACTTGCAGAATCATTGTATGAAGTCAGCATTACTTTGATTCCCAAAGCAGACAGAAACCCAACCAAAAAAAAAAAAAAAGAAGGCCAATATCCCTGATGAATATGGATGCAAAAATTCTCAACAAGACACTAGTGAATCGAATTCAACAGCATATAAAAAGAATTATTCACCATGATCCAGTGGGATTCACTCCTGGGCTGCAGGGCTGGTTCAATATTTGCAAATCAATCAATGTGATACACCACATTAATAAAAGATAAGAACCACATGATCCTGTCAATAGATGCAGAAAAAGTATTTGACAAAATACAGCATCGTTTCTTGATGAAAACCCTCAAGAAGGTCAGGATAGAAGGAACATACTTAAACATCATAGAAGCCATTTATGAAAAGCTCATAGCTAATACCATCCTCAATGGGGAAAACTGAAAGCTTTCTCCCTGCAATCAGGAACACGACAGGGATGTCCACTCTCACCACTGTTGTTTCACATAGTGCTGGAAGTCCTAGAATCAGTAATCAGGCAACAAAAGGAAATCAAAAGCATCAAAATTGGCAAAGATGAAGTCAAACTTTCACTTTTTGCAGACGACATGATATTATACATGGAAAACCCGAAAGACTCCACCAAAAGTCTCCTAGAACTGATACTTGAATTCATCATAGTCGCAGGGTACAATTAATGTACACAAACTGGCTGCATTTTTATACACCAATAATGAAGCAACAGAAAGAGAAATAAAGAAACAGATCTCCTTCACAAATGCACCAAGAACCATAAAATACCTAGGAATAAACCTAACCAAAGATGTAAAAGACCTATATACTGAAAACTATAGAAAACTCATGAAGGAAATTGAAGAAGATACAAAGAAATGGAAAAACATACCATGCTCATGGATTGGAAGAATAAATATTGTTAAAACATCAATACTACCCAAAGCAATCTACACATTCAATGCAATCCCAATCAAAATTGCACCTGCATTCTTCTCAAAGCTACAACAAAGAATCCTAAAATTTGTATGGAACCACAAAAGGCCCTGAATAGCCCAAGTAATATTGAAGAAGAAAACCAAAGCAGGAGGCATCACAATCCCAGACTTTAGCCTTTACTACAAAGCTGTAATCATCAAAACAGTATGCGATTGGCACAAAAACAGACACAGACCAATGGAATAGAATAGAGAACCCAGAATGGGACCCACAAATGTATGGCCGACTAATCTTTGACAAAGCAAGAAAGTACCCAATGGAAAAAAGACAGTCTCTTTAACAAATGGTGCTGGGAGAACTGGACAGCAATATGCAGAAGAATGAAACTAGACCACTTTCTTACACCATTCACAAAAAATAAACTCAAAATGGAGGAAGGACTTTGAATGCGAGACAGGAAACCATCAAAACCCTAGAGGAGAAAGCAGGAAAAAACCTCTCTGACCTCAGCTGCAGCAATTTCTTACTCGACACATCTCCAAAGGCAAGGGAATTGAAAGCAAAAATGAACTATTGGGACCTCATCAAAATAAAAACTTTCTGCACTGCAAAGGAAACAATGAACAAAACTAAAAGGCAACCAACAGAATGGGAAAAGATATTTGCAAATGACATAATGGATAAAGGGCTAGTATCTAAAATCTATAAAGAACTCACCAAACTCCACACTTGAAAAACAAATAATCCAGTGAAGAAATGGGCAGAAGTCACGAATAGACACTTTTCCAAAGCACACATCCAGATGGCCAACAGACACATGAAAAGTTGCTCAACATCACTCATCACCAGGGAAATACAAATCAAAACCACATTGAGATACCACCTCACACTGGTCAGAGTAGCTAAAATGAACAAATCAGGAGACTATAGATGCTGGAGAGGATGTGGAGAAACGGGAACCCTCTTGCACTGTTGGTGGGAATGCAAACTGGTGTAGCCGCTCTGGAAAACAGTGTGGAGGTTCTTTAAAAAATTAAAAATAGGGGGCGCCTGGGTGGCGCAGTCGGTTAAGCGCCCGACTTCAGCCAGGTCACGATCTCGCGGTCCGTGAGTTCGAGCCCCGCGTCAGGCTCTGGGCTGATGGCTCAGAACCTGGAGCCTGTTTCCGATTCTGTGTCTCCCTCTCTCTCTGACCCTCCCCCGTTCATGCTCTGTCTCTCTCTGTCCCAAAAATAAATAAACGTTGAAAAAAAATTAAAAAAAAAATTAAAAATAGAACTACCCAATGATCCAGCAATAGCACTGCTAGGGATTTACCCAAGGGATATGGGAATGCTGACGCATAGGGGCACGTGTACTCCGATGTTAATAGCAGTCCTTTCAACAGTAGCCAAATTATGGAAAGAGCCTAAATGTCCAGCAACTGATGAATGCATAAGGAAGATGTGGTTTATATATATAATGGAATACTACTTGGCAATGAGAAAGAATAAAATCTGGCCATTTGCAGCAATGTGGATGGAACTGGAGGGCATTATGCTAAGTGAAATAAGTCAGGCGGAGAAAGACAGATACCATATGTTTTCACTCATATGTGGATCCTAAGAAACTTAACAGAAGACCATGGGGGAGGGGAAGGGGGAAAAAAAGTTACAGAGAGGGAGGGAGGCAAACCATAAGAGACTCTTGGATACTGAGAACAAACTAAGGGTTGGTGGGGGGTGTGGGAGAGGGGAAAGTGGGTGATGGGTATTGAGGAGGGCACCTGTTGGGATGAGCAATGGGTGTTGTATGGAAACCAATTTGACAATGAATTATATTTTTAAAAATTAAAAAAAGGAAAAAATATATGTTTAGAAATTTTCTTTATTTTTATTAAATAAGAGGGAAAATAAAGCCTTTGAAATAACACATCAAATGAGCTTAAACATCTAGAGACACACATAACACCATTTTTTTAAAAGGAACTGCATGAAGAAGGAATCTTTATTGGCACATTTGATTATTTCCATAATCTTCTGTCAACTGAAAGAATCTCTTATTGTAAACTGAAGGCTTCTTGGCATCTCCTTTACTACATTTCAGAATCATCAGCTGTTTTTCCACTAGGAGAGAGAAAGCTGTAACATCTTCCCTGACTACAGTATGATGACTTTTTAATTCCATTTTTCTGAGGACTCCGTGTCCTTG